TGTTCGTGGACCAGATCGCAGCGACCCTCTGATCGACGCGCAGGTTGGTCGGCTCTCGTCTGAATTTTTCGAACCGAAAGAAGTCTGTCATGTCTGGCATCGGGTACGCGACTGAAGTGCAGTAAGGAAAAAGTTGCGTGATTAAGGTGCATATTTCTGGCTCTGTATTGCCTGTGTCCTTCATTGCCTTTTTCTTTGTGGTCAGGTCGGTTGGCGAATGTTAGGCATGTTTTGTTCGCTTGATGTACAGATACGGCGGTACTGAAGCTTTTGCCATGCCTTTCAATGACGTATGCTGGCATGAAGGGGGTTGGTCCAGCTAACTGTTTTTTGATTTAGGCCAAGTAAAGGCATTGTTTGCTTGTGGCGATCACATTCTCAGAACTAGCTCCAGTAAACCACACGTCCACACACAACACACGGCTGACGGGTGCCGCAGCAGGGCACTCACGCGACACACACACACACACAACACACACACACAATGCACGACACACACGACACGACCACACGGTAGGCACACGCGCAGCGCGCACGCGCACGCGCACACAGCCACGTGCAGCACACAACACACACACACACATACACAACACACCACGTAGCGTACACCGACAGCACGTCAGCGCAATGCAACAGAGCGCCGCTTTTTTGATGTGGGGTGACACACCAGAAACAGGCTGGGTTTGAACGCGCGGCAAAACTGTCCTTTAGGGTGAACCTTAGAGGGGTGACCTTGAACATTCGAATCCTATAATATAAGATCCGAAATCGGATTCCCTCAGAGGCCACAAATCGGCCTAAAAAAAGTGTATTATGTCTGATTACTAGGCACTTTTTGGTTTTTAGCGCATATAATTGACGTACGATTTAGCGACCGCTCTGCGTCGGTGACTCTATCGTGACCCTGACATCCAAATATTGCGCTCAACAGTCGTCAATAAGGTCCGCCCTTCGTTACTCACCGGCCGGAAACGATATAAAGAGGTGCTGTTTGTATATATTGAGAAAAAAAGCACTAAAAATGACATATTTGACCCCACAATGACCTTTAGGAGTGAACGCTTGAGGGGTGACATTGACCTGCAAATCACCTGAAGTCTAAGATCAGAATCAGATTCCCAGACCATTTATAAAGCCGCTATAAAAGTGTATTATTTATGATTATAGTTTTATCTGATGTTAACTAGATTGACCGCCCCAACCGCCGGGTGGTGGCCATATTGGAATTTGCCAATATGCGCGGCGCCGGCACGGGGGGAGCGCGCCCATTCCGGCGCCGCGCCAGAAATGCCCGAAAAAGCTATGGTAACTGGGCCAACATATGGGCCAATATTGGTGGTTTTGGAAGAAAGTGTGAACGCTAAGCACGGCCCTTTTTTATCCCTACCATCCCTGACTATACGGGGTTGACTGTCTTACATGTGAAAGTATGGAATATAGCTAGGATTGGCTGCCTTACATATGAAAGTATGCAGTATACCAAAAGTTAGGGGTTGACTGTCTTAATTACATGCGAAAGTATGGAATATAGCTAGGATTGGCTGCCTTTACATGTGAAAGTATGCAGTATACCAAAAGTAAGGGGTTGACTGTCTTAATTACATGTGAAAGTATGGAATATACAGGATTGGCTGCCTTACATGTGAAAGTATGGAATATAGCTAGGATTGGTTGCCGTACATGTGAAAGTATGGAATATAGCTAGGATTGGCTGCCTTACATATGAAAGTATTGAATATAGCTAGGATTGGCTGCCTTACATGTGAAAGTATGGAGTATAGCAAGAGTAAGGGGTTGACTGTCTTACATGTGAAAGTATGGAATATAGCAACGAGTAAGGGTTGACTGTCTTACATGAGCCAAAAGTATGGATGATAGGGCAAGAAGTAAGGTTTGACTGTCATTCAGTGTGAAAGTATAGAAATATAAGCTAAACAAAGAGTACCGAGCGGGTTGACTGTCTTAGCATGTGAAAGTATGGAATATAGCAAGAGTAAGGGGTTTGCCTGTGGCTTAGCATGTGAAAGTATGAAATAATAGTCAACAAGAACTAGGGGTTGACTGTCTTAGCATGTGAAAGTGTATGTGAATTATAGCTAATAAGAGGTAAGGGTGTTGACTGTCTTCACATGTGAAAGTATGGATATAGCAAACAAGACTAAGGGGTGTGAGCTGTCATACATGCAGTTGAAAGTATGGTAATATAGGCAAAGCAAGACGCTAAGGGGTGACTGTCTTACATGGTGAAAGTATGGAAAATATAGCAAGAGTAAGGAGTTGGCCTGTCCTTATCATGGTGAAAGTATGGAATATAGCGCAAGAGTGAAGGATTGACATGTACTACAATCGTGAAAGTATGGAATATAGGCAACAATGACTAAGGGGTTGATGCCTATACATGTGAAGAGTATGGAATATAGCAAGAGTAAGTGAGTTGGCTGTCTTACATTGAAAGTATGGAATATAGGGCAAAGTAAGGGGTGACCGTCTTACATTGTGAAGTCTGGAATATAGCACATAGACCAAGGGGTTGACTGTCTAGCAAGCTGTGAAAGTATGAATATAGCAACAAGAGTAAGGGGTTGACTGTCTTACATGTGAAAGTATGGAATATAGCAAGAGTAAGGGGTTGACTGTCTTACATGTGAAAGTATGGAATATAGCAACAAGACTAAGGGGTTGACTGTCTTACATGTGAAAGTATGGAATATAGCAACAAGACTAAGGGGTTGGCTGTGTTACACCGATACGCTCAAGCTTTTATGCGAAGTTTTATTGATTTCTCATTTTCATTCTTATTCGATGGCTAAGCTAGTTGCCACCTTTTTACATGCTTAATTCTCTATATAACGATGCATGTGAACCTTCAGAGCGTTTTGATTGCCCGCGTACGTGTGTATTGAGCCGTGGCCCTTTGATGACGTCAGAGACATGATACAGTCTATCGACATCAACCCTTCTACAGCTGTCATCTGCCAGTGATAGTAGAAATTGCCACGTGGTCAACATTAGAATTTACACATTGTTACATAGTGTTGCATATATATAGGTCCAGGTTTGTTGACACGTAGCTTAGTGACGTCATGCTCCTTATTTGCATAAATTTTCAATCCAAACATGCGACATAAATTTTAGGCAGTTTTTTATCATTTTTTTTCGGTCACTACGAAACTTGATAAATATGAAAATAAGAATCTTAGATAAATAAGATAATACGAAAATAAGAGAAATCCTGACGCGCGATTTTGGTGCATATTGTGCTTAACTAGAGGCGAGAATTTTGCTTTCATACTCTGTGGTAATTGAGAATACATAATATTCAAAATTTGTGTTGTCAAATTAGGTGCTAGAAATTTCATGAAATTGTTTGGCTTGAGCATGGAGATGCATCTCATGAAACGTTTATTGACAAATGAATCGAATCGATCACACGTTTTATTTATAGATGACATCTTTAAATAAAACGCGTGATTTGATTCGATTCATTTGTCAATAAACGTTTACTCTTCATTAGAGCAATACCCGTGCAAAATATTGAGTGTATCCTTATGTAATATAGCAAGTGTACTCAGTAGTGAGCTTAGTTATCTATGTCTAAAGTATGCAATATGGCAAGAGTAATTATTGGTCTTATATTTGAAAGTATAGAATATAGTAAGTGTAGTGAGCTTGGCTGTCTGCATAGAAAACTATGGAACATAGCCATAGTAGTGAGCTTCGCTATCTACGCCTAAAGTATAGAATAATAGCAAGTGTAGGGGGCATGGCTGTCTACATATGAAAGTATGGAATATAACAAGTATAGGAGGTTGACTATCTACGTCTGAATGTATGAAATGCAGCAAATGTAGGGGTTGGCGTTCTCCATGCTTTGGCTCACCTCGTAGTTACTTAGTGGATTTTAAATGCAACTGAGAGCACTGTGGTGGAGGGGAAGCAAGATATACGAATATTAAGAGATCCACCATTCCATCGAGAGCAGGCAGAGAGAGAGAGACAGAGAGACAGAGAGACAGAGAGACAGAGAGACAGAGAGACAGAGAGACAGAGAAAGACAGAGAGAGACGATGAAGAGTTGGCGAGATGAGAAAGAGAGACGGGAGGAGAGGAAGAAAGAGGGGGAGATGTGTGTGTGTGAGAGAGAGAGAGAGAGAGAGAGAGAGAGAGAGAGAGAAAGAGAGAGAGAGAGAGACGGGGAAGAAAGAGAAAAGACGAGAGAGAGAGAGAGACGGGGAAGAAAGAGAAAAGATGAGAGAGTACATGATAGAAGAAAAGAGAAGAGAAGAGAAGAGAAGAGAGGAGAAAAGAAGAGAAGAGAAGAGACGAGCATTAGGACTAATCACATCCATTGTCGTGATGTGATGGAGGCGGATCACGAAAACACGCAGTCAGAGACAATTAAACTAAGAACCTTATGGACCCTCCCACGGTCATAATGAGCTGTCACGCTCCACTCCCCCACTACCGCCACTCCCCTTGATTAATTAAACCTCGGCTCGTGACGTCAGTGTGTCCGGCCGCGGCCAGTGACCATCTGGCAATGAGATCGAGGACCAATCACGTAGAAATAACGACTTTTTGCCAGATAGCGAGTACTTGCTGCCAGAGAAAAGGCAGGCAGCAAATTTACTTGTCTAGGTAGAATCTTTCGTGCGTTTACTATTATGCATTTTTGGCAGCAAGTAACGTTAAGAGCAGACAGCCAACCGACTGTTCAAGGCAGCAAAACTGCTGCTTGCTACCCTTAATTTCGAACGCTGACATAAATACACCGAGGGGTTACTAATGACAAATTATTCAGTATTAATTATAACCCGTGAATGATACACCTAAACTATGTTCCTCACTGCAGAATTACCTTATATATTATCAAGAGCTAATAATACCTTTTTGATTATTAGCTCTTGATATTATCAGTATATTACCTTCACGCTCGCTCTCGCCGTCCGCGTCGGCGTCGTCTGCCGTCGTCGTGGCAACCGCGTCCGACCTTGCAGCGCTCAGGTCGACCGCGGAGGCGGCGACGCGTAGCAGTGCGACGACACGTAGCTCAATCTCCGTGAATTCGGCAAGCGTCTCGAGAGCGTACGGGTGCGCGTGCTCGCCCCGCACGCGCGCCGCCTTGCGGCGGACGTCGCTCTGCAGGTAGATCCACTTTGAGCGGCACTCGCGCGGCGACCGCTGTATCTCGCTGACGGTGTTTACCTGTGTGTGTGTTCACTCAACATAGTAGTTTTCACGACACAGCAGACATGCAGTAACATAGGTGCGATCTCACCGATATTCTATAAGCACATGTAGTAGGTACCCAAAAGCAGGCATGGACGCATAATACACAATAGTAGTTGAGTCACCAAGCATGGCTCACAGATGAACACCACTGAGTCGTCGCCAAGCAATGGTTGAGAGAGTATACAGTCAGAGCTACAGGATTGTGACCGCAAGGGCCCACTGCACACAAGTGTTAAAGCCCGAGAGCCTATGGCAAGCATAGCCAGTGAACACACGGCACATGAGTTACTTACCGGTCCAGAACACTAGTGTGTCACAATCACGCGTTCGTTAGGATAAAAAACAGCGAATGCAATAGTGTACTCTAAATAATAAATTTGTTTTTTATATCCAGCAATGCTCAAAGGGGTACAATATTTTACTACCCCTAAATATATAGCACACTATACTGTAAGTATTAATGCCAAGCCCGCAGGTTAGTAGGGTACAAGACGATGTCTCCCACTTGAACACACAGATACAAGTAGATGTGTTGGTAGTAGTGTGTGAGTATAGTGTGTATGTGTGTTGTGTGTGTGTATGTGTGTGTGATGTGTAGGTGTGTTAGATGTGTGTGTGGTGTGTGGTGTGTATGGTGTGTGTGTGTGTGTGGTGTGTGTGTGTGTGTCGCATGTGTTGTGTGTGTGTGTGTGTGTGTGTGTGCGGTTTGCGTGTGTGGCGTGTGTGTGCGTAGTGTGTTGATCGCGTATATGTAGTGTGTGTCGGAGCTGTGGATGTTGTGTTGTGTCGCGTGTGTGTGTAGTGTATGTCGCTGTGTGTGTGTGTGTGT